GCCACCCAGCTCTGTTCGCACTTTTTGCCCCCCTGCTCTGTTCACTGCTGCTTTGTTGGATGTGCCAAGGGGGCAGGCAGTGGGGAGAACATCGGTGTCTTTCAGCCTGCAAATTTATTGCTCATTCTCCTCCTCTCACTTTCTTACTAAGCAATTCTGACCTATCCGCTGGGCTGTCCCGGCACCGACTAGCGTCTGCTGCTTGCAGTCACATAGAATGGGTGTACTTTCCCCGGAAAACTCTCAGCCCGTGTCTGAAATTACGTTTCACGTTTACAAAGCCGGCATTCGGGTGGGGCGGTGCAGGCTAAGGGTCCGTCCTGCACAGGGGCGAAGGAGCGGTTCGCTCCCGTCGCGGGACCGCAGCTGCCGGCGGCGGAGAACGGACGCCTCGCTCGCAGCCCGGGACTACAACTCCCGGCGGGCACTGCCGGCGGCGCAGCGATCGACGCAGAGACCGGCGAGGTGTATGAGTGGTTGTGGGGCCGGGGCGGACGCGCGGGGCCGTGCGCCGGGGTAGCGGGATGTGCGCGCGGAGCGCCCGGCGCCTCTGCCGCGTGGGACGGAGCCGCGGGAGCGACGCTGGAGGGGTGAAGCCTCCGTCTGGCCGCCCGCATGGAGCTGAGCAGCGCGGAAGGGGCGTCTCGGTTCCTCGGCCTCACTCAGCGGTACCGGAGGCGGGGGCTAAGCTCGGGTGGGGTGGGGCGTGGCGCGTTGCCGACACGGGATGGCGGAGAGGAAGGCGGTGCTTTGCTTCCTCCGGCCGGGGGCCGGCGGGCCGCCGGGCCGAGGGGCGGTGCAGACTCCCGCGGCTGCTCCTGGGGCTAGCGGAGCAGCAGGAGCCCCCGAGCTGCAGCCGTCTCCTTCCAGGACTCCTGCAGGTGGTGCGGACGGAGTCGGACGGGCGTCTTCAGAGTCGTTTTCGCAGCGTATTCAGCGTTGCGCTGGTACAAGCTGATAGCGCTGGGATATCGCTGCAATTACACGATTGCTGAGAGCTTTTGCGCTTGTGACTCTATCTTAAATGAAAACAGATTGACCGATACTGACAAGTAAACGTATAGATGGTAAGGAGAATGTCAAGCCCAAGAGACGTGCAGGCTACGTCCTTCTCATCACACAGGTGTAATCTGCAAACTCACCCCCTTCTGCCGCTACCCTCACGCCCCCCTAAATAAAGTGCTTTCCAGTGTCGAACTTCTAAAAGACCACACTTGTGATTTGACGGCTAGCATCCTAAAAACGTCTACTTGTAGATGACCAAATACATTTCATCGTGCTTTTTTGTTCAACTTCTCAGAGTGTTTTGTAGAGGCTTTTGTTGAAATGGGAGGAAACTAGTCCTCTCCCCTTCGGCATTACTGTTCATTTACACGACTGAACCTGTGTTTCCAGACAAGTGGGAAAGGGAGGTGGAGCATACTGTACATGCTGTACAAGTGCACGTAAGCTGGCTGGTTTTATTCCTGTGAATGAAAGTGCATCTGTATTTAAATACTTTGCAATGTAAGTAAGTTTGAAATTATTAAACCCAGTTGATCTAAGGCGCTGATAAACTAACCTCTTCAGTTCTGCCAGTTCATCTTACTAGCATGGAAACTACTCTTAAACTCTCATAACTGGAGCAGCAGTTTTTCTTACATGGATCACATCAGGACCGAGGAAGGATATCATTCAGTGAAGGAAATTAATATGAGCAGTTTATTCTAAGCAGAGTGTCTTTTTTAAATTAGTGGATGCAAAATGTCAGAGAGTTGAGTAGAAATCTGGGTGGGAAACGAGAACGGAGAGCCAAAGAGCTGYGCAGGCAAAAATTCCTTAGGGAATATAAGCGCTTATGAAAATCGCTTGATTATGTGATCCGTACCTATGCGCAAGTTGAAGCTAAGATGCCTAGTTTCTGTGATGTTGTCTCTGTAGCATTTGCTTTGGTGTGACATTCTGCTTTAATTACCGGATATGAAGCAGATGTTATGCAATATGAAGGAGTTAGGTTGAGAAGAAGCAGAGATTAGCACTTGGGTATAATTCCGATTTTTAAAAGGACTGCTAGTGTGTTTGAAGGTTCTGTATGTTTTAGCTAGTTTGAATTGGGACGCAGACGAATGAGATTCCTGATGTCAAAGCGGTCTTGTTTTAGTCATTAGTTCAGATACATTCCTGGTTTTTTAATTATTTACAGTGGTGTCAGAAAAATGCTTTTGATAACAAAGGGTGTGCTTTGTGGCAACACAGTATATGTCCTCAAATTATTGGAATGTCGTTTGTGAAGAGGTGATGCTTAATGTGATACGATGGTATGTGGCTATATGGGGTAATGCAGATAAATGTTGAGCTTCACATTCTGATTCCAAGACTGCTTATGTTTGCTATCTTTTTGGAGGCAATGGAGGGAAACCTCTGAAATACTGTTGTTTCCTGAGGCTTTTGGATTAAAGTACCAGTTTAGTTGGTTTTTGTGTGTAGGCTGAAAAAAGACTGAAAAATCAGGAGCCACATACTAAGTGTGGTCTTGCTGAGTTACATAGTGCAGTTGTCRTATCTGGGGCCTTAAGTTTACATTTTCCACGTTTATAAGCCACCATGTGCTTTCTAACTCTGATTGCATCTTGCCTAAGTATTAAATGTAATCATAGCTTTTGCTTCCGGTCACGTCGCAGATGTTTCCTTTGGGAGTAATGTGAAAGCCAGATTGCAAWGGCTGCTAGAAGTCGTGAATGCTGTAAGAAGCGTACCCTGCGGCAATGACTTTATACGCTGCAAACCTTCAGAGATTATATTTCAGCAGAGATTACATTTTTTTTAATGGCAGGATATAGCATTGCGTGAAAGGTAAGGCTGCTTGATTCGTGTACACTGATGAAGCRTTTCTGTTCCAGCTCTGTCTCTGAAGATCTGGGTTGCAGACGTGGAGAGTTTAGCAGAAAACATTATGGATCTGTGGAGCTCGTAAGTTTACATAGTCTGTCCTTCGGTTTATCGGCTTATAATGCAGAACTCTAATCCTTTCCGTTTCCAAGTAAAAAAAAAAATTGATCCAGTTTGGAAAATACATTTTCAAGGCTGGACTCGAAAGTTGTTAGCTCATGTAAAGTGGTTTCAGAATAGATATTAATCATATCTGTGACAGGAGGTGTTTTCACTGCTTTATTTGTTAATACTTCACTATAACAAAAGAAGTAGTGTTCCATAAATACCGTGTTTACCTCATGTTTGAAGCTGAGCCTTTTTGCCTCATAGAAGCTGAAGATGGCAAAATATTACRGTAGTATTTAATGAACTATTTGTAATTATAAAAGTTGTAAACTGTATGCATGCTCACATGTGTACACATGTAGGTATGTAATTTCGTATGTACGTGACTCATAACAGTGAGAGAGGGTTTAAAACTAAACTAACTGGTCAGAATTAGAGTTTTGAGAAACGGTTCCCTACAAACTGTCAGTTATTATGCATTCTCTTGAAATGCAAAGATTAACTTGGAACTTCTTTTTTCTCATACATAAATTTCTTCTCCGGTGTGAAAATATGTCACCAATTCAAACAGTGTCATTCTGATTACAAGGTCATAAAAAATTATATAAATTTACTGTAGTAAAGCAGAGGTGAGGAGAAGTTAGGAAAGTGAACACCAGCTCTCTTAGTGTGGGAAAAAAAATCACCAGTTTTCTACTAGCTGCAGTTGTAAATTTCAAGTGCTTGGGTAGTATATTTACTAAATGTATGTACATTGAGTTTCAATTAGTGGCTTAGTTGCTGGAAGTTGCACTGCCATGAGCACCAGGTATCTTTCATTTCTTTTCATGCCGTCCACATAACAGAAGAAGTGTTCTAGCACAAAAATGCAAGTAAGCTGTTTTCTGCTAAGGGGCTCTTTCATTCCTAGTGCTTAGATTCTTTTGCTGGGAAAAACAGTAGTTACTTGTACTTACAAATTCACAGCATGTGCACACAAATGGTCTTGTTTATTGGTGGTTTTCCTTAAAATTCTGCTAGCGTTTTAGTGGTTGCTTTTCTTAAAACTCTGCTAGCATTTGAGGGAAGTGTGTCTTCTTTGGCGTACAGATACTTGAATGTTCTTGTTGCCCTTTCATGTTCATAAATGTTTAACACTTTCCTTGTTTTGTGTTTCCTACAGTAGCATCTCACTCATGTCTCATTACAGTTTTTACTGGACCAATCAAAATCTTTACTCAAATTGGTAATAGCAGGGCGGATCTCTTCTCTGTGGGGAGTCACAATGCCCAGAACAAAAACAAACGGTAGTAAGCTTTGATTGCTGATTGTATGGCTGGTTTTGGAAACAAAGCCTCTATCTTAAACTCTCTTATAGCTTATATCCAGTGATGCTGACGGAGCCATTCAAAGAGCTGGACGGTTCCGTGTGGAAAATGGCTCCTCTGGCGAGGTAAGTGCCTAGAAATACTCATAGAAAGCTGAAAAAATTATTTGGGTTCAATCATTTTTCACTTCTGAAAGATGTAGTTGCAGCCAATTACTAAAGAGGAGGACTTTGAAAATTCTAAATAATGAAAAAATGTAAGGGTTTAAGAGGAATAAGGTGGTGGTTTTTCTCCCTGCCTTAGGTCCTTATTCAAGAGTATGCAGCCTCAACAATTTCATTTTTTAGTGGGAAAAGAGGGCATTTTGTTTCGTGTTGGTAGCATTTTTGCTGTCTCGATCATGTTAGGAGAAAAATATCTCCAAATGACATTTGGCAGTCTGTAGTTCATCAGTTCATATTGCTATCCCAGTGGTACTACAATGCTCAAGCTGACCTCTGAGCTTTAAAGTTTGCTCCCTGATGTCATGAGGTTGTAGCTTCATATTTTTGGACCCTTAGTTGTCTTTTGGCAGATGTGCTTATCTATGCATACGGGATAAAGAGGTTGAGTGGAGTCACAGAGAGTCATTCCCTTCGTCTTTCTCGCTCCTAAACTCAAACTTGTCTCTCTGCAAGTATTCCGCTGACACTTAGGTTTCCACTTACCTTCCTTTGCAAAATTTTTCATCTGTAAATGCTGTCCTAATATGGAATCAAAGAAGACCTCATATTCTAGAAATACTTGTAAGATCTTAGTAAGTCTATATGGAGCTAGTAGCAACAGCAAGCTGTTGCCGATCACCCCTATGCATCGTCACTGGATGCAGAGTTGAAAACAATCTAAACTGTTTTGCTTTGAATCTTTGAGGGCTCATGTTTGGTACTCTGTGTTTTTAGCTCAGTTTCATGCAGTTCAAAAGCTGATTGGCTTGTATCACGAAAAGATTCGGAGAGCAGATGATGAATGGCCACGTGGTGAATGCATACACATAATGGCTTCTTCTTCACGTATGTTTCCAATTCATAGTTGGAAAGGACTCGAGGGATGCTTGGGAATTTACCTTAATTTATGAGAAACAGCACTGAAGAGCTTCCAAAGCATGTTTACCATGCTTCCAAAGGGTGCAGAGGAGACTTTGAGGATTAATTTTGGAAGAACTGAGAAAAATGAAACCTGAAAATGCTAGTTTATTTAAGTTTTAAAAATGTTCGCCTTCAAATTCCACATTCAACTACCATCTGTTCACTGACATTCTAAGACGTGACCCATAACAGTGGTAACAGTAGGATAACACTTAGCCCTTTAGGCAGAAAATGGAAGAAAGGGTAAATGAGAGGCAGAAATTTTTATTTCTGCTACACACCAACTGGCATCACAATAATTCTTTGCTTTTTGAAAAGCAGTGTACGGGTACAATTTCGAGTGAATCGGCGAGTCTTCATTTGCTTTTGCCTCTGTTTTGTCCTTTTTTTCCTCACTTGGCATTAAATGTAACAGTCTCTCGTTTCTATTTCAGAATACGGACTACGCTCCGGCTACGTGGCACAGAACGGATGTGCATTTGGAAAACCCAGAGCATCATACAAGATGGTACTTGAAATATTTCTTAGGGAAAGGTAATTCTTTTTTTGCAGATGGATTGGAGGTTGGATCACTGAAAATGTGATGTAGCTTTGACTTGTTATTATTTCAGTAGGGGAAAAAAAAAAGTATGTTTAGTATTAACAGTTTAGTATTAAACCATTTTCTGTTCCGTACAGAAAACAAGTAATTGTTTCATGTGTTGGTGACCTGAAAACGGGACGGGTTTCTGTAAGGAATGAAACCCTTGCTACCAAAAAGGGATGTTTCAAAACCCTTCCTGGCTTTGAGGCCTCCACCGATCTCTTGCGGTGTTTTCTTTAGACGTCTGTATATAACTTATTTATACATAGTTATTTATRCAGACAATTGTACATTTTTACGTATGATGGCATATATTTACGGGTGTTTCTCTGAGTCTGCGCATGAGCGGGTGGCTGCGTATTCTTCATGGCTGATCACACTGCTTGCTTTTCTCCCAACAGTTCATCAGAATTATATAGGTACAGATGCAGAGAGGAACCCTTTCTTTCTGTCTGTTGTACTGTCTGACCAAAATAACAAGCGCATTCCTCAATACCATTCAATACTTTGGAGAAAAACGGTAAGAAGCAAGTACTTAGCTGCTGTTGACTTTTGTTTGTTTGTTTGATATAGGTATATTTATCATCTGCTTTTTCTGCAGAATTCCAGCATTTATTACATATTTTCATTACATATAATAAGGAAATATTATTCTACCATAGCAGATAAAACTAAACTAATTTTGCAGATCACACTATACTAAACTTTTTGACAGAAATCTGTAATGTCAGGTGTTTTCTGGTTGTTATAACAACTGCTGTTTTTTAGAAATAATGCCTAAATTGTTCTTGATTATGTCCTGTGATCAGTTTAGGAATGACCTTATTATGCGCTCAGGATTTTCTTGTACAATGCTAAGAAAATAGGCAGGTGTAGTATTGGTTTCACTAATACTGTTAATTTTTTTGTTTATTTAATGTTCCAAAAGAGTCTTTTATCCAAGCAATTGTGTTGAAACTCTCCTGTAGGCGTGCTTGCTTCACGTTTCTTTTTCTTTGAAAGATCCGTGACTTCTTTTTCTCCTCAACCAGCAGTAAATATAGCTAAGTAAAATGATCTTGATGCTCTTCTTTGGTTCTGTTGCTTAATTGTTTTTAGTCATATTCCTATTTGAATATTCAGAAAAAAAAATGGTGCATCCTGTAATATATCCTAGCTTTTCTTGTTTACAGGGTACTCAGAAAATATGTCTCCCTTACAGTCCCACAAAAACATTATCAGTGAAATCTATATTAAGGTATGTGTTTGCAACTATGTTATCAGTTTACATATTTGCCTGGATACCTTTCCCTGTAATTCGGAGATTATGTTCTATGGTTTTCTTGACAGTTATATAAAACCTGTAAAATTGATTTGCAAATCTTAAGCATTGAAGGCAGCAAAAAGTGGTTTGAAAGCCTGCTCTGGAAAAGGCAAAGTGACAACTTAAAACGGAGAGAACCTGTTCGCACTTTTTCTTCAGCAGAGGGACCGTTATCAGGTTAATTGGAAAACAGGTGTTAAGCAGAACTGTGGTGATTGAGAAGAAATGCCTTTTAAAAATAAGATAGACAATAAACAGTGCTAAAAACTAGCAGATTAGGACTAGTGGTTATTATGTGGCCCTAGCAGCACGAAGAAAGCAGTCAAAATGCTGAGAATTATTTTTTCAGTTAATTGCCTTCATCTGAATCTCACTATGGGTGTGTTATGCGCAGTGAAGCCAAGAAAAGTCCTCATCTCAGCTACAGTTCGTATGAGCACGATTGCACTCCGCCCTGCCTCTTTTGTGGCAAAAGAGAATACAAAATGAGCAAACCCAACACCATCTCTGTTTCTTTGAACGCTTTTAATCGGCTGAAGTGTCAGAGGGCTGGTTTTCAAAGCATACATTCAAATGTAATCTGCAGTTTTTACAGTCTCATCGCATGGTGTGTTTTCTCAAATCCCTTACTGACAGTGTCATCCAATGGATCTTCTGTAAGGGTTTTAGCCTCTCTAGGAACCCATTAAAAGTGCCTTCATATACTAAACAAGTAGTGAGTACCAGATAAATTAGTGGTTTGCAAATCTTTAAAATCTTTAATCCTTTTAGAGTAGGAACAAATGTCTCTTGTTCGATTGAAGCRGAGCCACCGATTAACACTGACAGTGCCTATGTGAGAGGGGAACTCTGGAAGCAAAGCATGGTTTTTGGTGGGAAGTCACTACCAACAGATCTGGATGGTCCTGCTACTGCACAAGGTCCCGGGTCATTTAATTTGCCTAAGAGGCTATCAGGCCATTGAGCCTCACTTCTTATATCTGATTTCCTGGGCTAGGGGTCTGCTTTGCAGTGTCGAGGTGGTGAGTTGAAAGCACTTCAGATATCTTTCATCTTCTTCATCAAGTTGAACTAAAAGCCCTCTTCAAACTTCCACTATGTGGGCTTGAATAGCATCCCTAGAGATCTGTACTGCATTCTCTACCTACATAAGTACCCAATTTTCCGTGTCTGCTCACCAGGCGCTGAAGTATCTCTTCCTAAGATGCCTTTACAACCCTCCCTTCCCTCCCTCTACTCCACCCACGAGTGTGTATTACATCAAGCATCCAGAGTGGAGAAACTTTGTCATCTGCTAGCTAGCGTCATAACCCTGTGGCTAAGACACCCTAACGTGTTCTATTCTGCGATGCTCTGGTATTCTGCAGAGGAAATTGGTAGGCTTGTTTCAGACCTTGTTCCCCGTTTTTCCCACGGTCTGTGCCACATGGACTCAGTTGAATTAATGTCATCTCCTTTTGCCTGCTTCAGCTTGGACTGAAAACTCTTCCCCAACTTTTTTTTTTTTTTTTTTTTTGGCTTTTACGGTCCTTGAGCCATCCCTCCCTCAGGCCGGATTGATAGTCCTTTGATATTTCATCCCATTCACACCTGGTGTGAATCTAGGTACAGACTGGTTTCAAAGAATTCAGGTTACATTAATAAAAGTGGGTTTTTTTCTAAATTCTTTGGAACACTTTAGTACCTTTCACAAGGAACTAAAGAAAATCATGTCTGCACTGTGATCTAACGTAAGCAAGCGGCAGTGGAAAGATTTGACCTGTATGTTAGTTCACTGTGCCCCAGGCAGATTGCATTTGGCACTCTGTGACATGCCACTTGGTTCTATAATGCTTGGGGGTCAAGAAAGGAGTAATAGTAAACGCAGAGACGTGAGTCAAGAAAAGAATGCTATTARTTACATATTTCTGTTTATTGAGGCAGTTGATCTTGCTTCTTATGTAAATACATTTTCTGTTCTGGCTGTGAATCATTGCTGTGTGATTTTGATGCCAAACTTCTCATTTTTCATTTGACTTGCCTTAAATTATTTAAGAAGAGAAAATAGAAAAAATAGAATCGGTTATTGAGCCCTCCTTAAAAGCTCACAATTACTATGTTCAGAGCAAAGGGAAATGTGATGTACTACAGCTCTGTGCTTTATAAGTAAATAAATTTAAACCTGATCTCCTCACAGCTTCTTACTAATTTCTCTTTTTAAAATACAAAAGAAGTTCAGGAAGTGTTGGAAGTTATATTTTGGGAAAGAAATGGCAGTTCCGCAAATCATTCCGTTTAAGAGAACCTGTTTGAACTGTTTGTAACTACAGTACATTGGTGGTTCCGTGTTGAAATACATACTTTTCCTTTTCTAAAGCCATATTTCATTTGCATTTCAGTGCTATGAGTCTTGAAAAATTTGAGAAGAGCCCGAGGGAAATTTTTCATCCCGAGATACAGAAGGTAGGAAGTGACTTTTTTTGATTGCGTTGTTTTTCTTTATTATTAGCTGGAAATATAAGTAATTAAGTATAAATGATACCAGTTGGTTTCTTCCAGTAGCCGATTGTCTTTATCTGTTGAACTGGACATTTCAAATTGAAACTTAAAAACACAAACAAAACTATCATCCTTGTATAATCTTTAAGAAGAGTGTTCTAAGGATGCTGTTTTTATTTACAGGACTTATTGGTTCTTGAGGAGCAAGAGGTAAATGTAAACTTTCCGCTTCTACCTCACAGACCCGATGAGTGAATACAACTTTGTATTTGAAATGGTTGCACTGACATGCTGATGATGACTTTGAAATCAATTGCCAATTACAATTAAAAATGTCACATTCTTGAAACATGACAGCAAAAAATTATTTCAAGCACCAACTTAGTATCTCTTGTTAATAGGTCACCAGCTTAGATTAATAATTTTATGCTATGCTGTAAAACTTTAAAGGTAAACTCTTATGTGTTAGGCAATGGTATAAAATGTATGTTCCGATGTGTAGGATGTATACAAAGACACATACGTAAAAGTCCTTAGAGGAAACGTTTTTGTCAATCTTCTGTTTGGTAGTCCGTTTATCTTATAATGTCTGGTCTTACTTCTCAGGGATCTGTGAATTTTAAATTTGGAGTCCTTTATGCTAAGGATGGTCAGCTTACAGATGATGAAATGTTCAGTAACGGTGAGTTCTTCACCTTCTTCTTACTTGCTTTATTCATCTGAATAAAAAGAAGAGGATACTGCCTACAGCTAGAAGTGAGACACGAGGTAATGGTTACAGGAGCGGTCATTTTGTGGGGTTTTCTGTGTAGGGTGAAAAATTTTAGCGCAGAATGTTCCATAAAAAGTTGCTGTAGGAAGCCTACTATTGCAGCTTGAAAGACAGTACAATCTCTTTTCTAGAAATAGGCTATAATGTGACATAATGTTTATAAAAACAGACAATTGAGGAGGTGACTCAGTAACTCACTGCTTGTAGTTCTTTTGCTCTTACACTTTTGCAGCGTGAGCGTGTTCTCCTACACGCTTGTACGGCATTGCTGTTGGCAAAAGAGGTCACTGTTTAATCTCACGTGATGATTCCGGTTCTGCAGTGTTAGGATGCCATTTCTGGAACGGTAGTAGGGYTGGAAGACATGAAAAGACACCAATTCAGCTGAAACTTGTGTCCTGGAAGCAGGACATATTTTGATTGCTTTTGGTACATGTTATTCTACTACATGTGCGCTTTTCTTGTAACGTTTCTCCTTCCAACATGTAGAAACTGGAAGTGAAAGCTTTCAACGATTTTTGCATCTCTTGGGTGACAAAATTACTTTAAAAGGCTGGTCTGGCTACAGAGGAGGACTGGACACTAAAAGTAAGAACTCATCTGAAGCGATAACAGGCGAGGGCGGGGCCGCAGTATCAATGTTCCTTCTTATTGCATGTGCATATTGTATATATTGCAGTTATAAAGTAATCCCAAACCGAACCTCATCGTGCGCATACTAAATGCTCTGCCTGCCCAGGAAAGAGTCAGGTCACCTTAAGTCACTGGTATGGAATGCAGTAAAGTATTTATGACATGTATTATCAAAGTGACCGGTTTCACTTAAAGTTGGAATGAGGTGAACAATAACTTGGCACATTGCTTCCTTCATGATAGGATATTGTGGCTTGGAGACCTGTGTGATTTCAGGAGGCTAGCTGAAGGATGTCATAGGTTTTAAGTGTGAATATGCAGATTAGTTGCAAACTTGCGGGTTTGGACTCACCTGAAACACGCAGTGTGGCCATTTTCTAAAGTGGATCAGGAAAAGAGGATAACTGAAGAATATTTGGTAGAAGGACTTGAAATACCTTTCAGTCTTCAGAAAACATAGAGGTCATAGGTCTCCTTAAAATGTTGTCTTCCCTTGCAGATGATACAACAGGAACCCATTCCATCTATACAGTTTTTCAAGGGCATGAAATTATGTTCCATGTTTCAACCATGCTGCCATATTCTAGGGAGAACAAGCAGCAGGTACACGGTTTTCTCTTTCTTTTTTATTTCCCTATTTATTTGTGAAATCACAAAGTCCAAAACTTTTGAAGAAATAAAGGATTTCTTGCCTGTTCATATTTTAGAATATTATTAGCAAGCCTTGAGACTCTTGCTTCTTTTTTTCTCAATCTTCTACCTAATGCAGAAAATTTTATGTTTATTACAAAAAATAGATTCTGTCATCTCTATAWAGGCGTAAAATATACTTGTGAGGAAGATACAAGTAGTTTCACTGATAAGTGATTGAGTGTTGTGGTGTTCTGATGACTTGAAGAGTTTCAATGCTGCAATTATTACCTCAAAGATTTTAGGAAAACTGGAAATTACCCTTGTGTGTGAATTGTAGGAATATTCACATGTGTAATGCAGAGCTCACGCTCTGGTAGCGATTAGTGTAGCTTGACTGAAATTCCCCTTGTGAGCATGTTGATGGTAGTAACTGTACAGGAGTGCTGTCACACTCTCATAGATAAATTAGGTGTGTTCTTGGGTACTTGTTCAAATGTGCTGTCACCCATTGCTCAAGCCTTTCTTTGTATTTATGATGAAACAATTCCTTTATAAGCACATGTGTTGGCTATGCATCGTACATGCATAATGATTTAACTAAATTATTTGCAAATTACTTGGATTACAATTTATTATGCATCCTTACAGTAACATAGTTAGATGAGAAAATTAAAATGTCCTTTTTCTATATCTGTGTCAGTTTCCTCATGGTTTTTCCTTGGACTGATGACGAGATCAACAGAAGAAAACAGAGGCCGATCAGGATATTTGTTTTTCAGAGGATAACTCAGCAGCAGAGTTTTTGGTCCTTTTATTTCAAAGGGTAGATTTGCCTTTTCGGAACGCTAGAGGTTCCATGCCCGATTTGTGAATATTAATTACGGAAACTATGAGTGCTTTTTTAACTTAAACATAAGCAGTATCTGTTGCTCTGGATCTTGCCTTGTTGTGTGCTACCATGTCATTGCTTGGTTTACTTACTTACTTACAGTTAAGTACTGATTTTATAATGTCCTCAGTCATGCTGACCATAATTCTTCTGTTTGGAGTTTAGGATTATTTTTTTATTATTCTGTCACGCAATTGCTAAGATACTTATGTCTTGAAAGTCACCGTGTCTGTCTGCCTGTCTTCTTTTGTTGTCTTTTCTTTCTTTTTTCCTTTTTTTCTTTCCCTTTTTTTTTTTCCAGGTAGAAAGGAAGCGCCATATTGGAAATGACATTGTCACTATCGTATTTCAAGAAGGTGAAGAGTCTTCTTCAGCATTCAAGCCATCCATGATTCGCTCTCATTTCACACGTATCTTTTTCCTGACATTTTCTAATGATTTTTTTGTTTTAAAGATTAATATTACTTTGAATTCTGCCCAAAGTCCTCCCTGGAGGAAATGAAAACTATTTTAGAAAGACAGCTGCATTCTTACATTCCCTTATCAACAGCTGCTTGACTAGGAGTCCCCAAGTGTGCAACATCAGTGTGTGGTCAATCCCTTAGAAGATAAGGGAAGAGCAAGAATGCGATTTTTAAATCATGTTTTTATTGAAAGCATTTATTTATATTATTTCAAAAATTTAATTTTAAACCTTTTCAAGAAATAAAAATTCATAAATGCATTTCTCTTAGTTAAGTACATTACTTTGAAAAAAAAAAAMAAAAGAGTATTTATATACATGTGAGCTTTATTAGAACTGCATTAACTTCCTTAACTGTATGGCAGATATTTTTGCTTTAGTGAGATATAATAAGCAGAATGATTGTTACAGGTAGGTGCTGATTATAACAAATAATTGTACACTGAGTTTCTGATGCTTTAAGGAAACTGGGAAAACATTTTGGCAATGGGAAAACTTGCTGGCATACAGACAGGTCCATCTGTCTGTATGACAGGAAACCAAATGAGCTTTAGAAACTGAAGTGCAATATGGACCTGGATGCAGATGTCGGTACACTGGCTACAAGTACCATGTTTTTAACCCTCAGAGAAATTGGATTCTGGAACAGACATGAGCCGAGGGGGAAACCCAAAACTAGTTTTTAGATGAAATACAACACAATGTCTATAGATATGCTTGCAATGTTCAGACCGGGTTTATATCAATGATATAGTAAACTATGTGGATGACAAGAGTTAATTAACGCATGTTACGCTGTAATAGCTATGGACTACAGATCCTTGCAGATCTCAGTTTGGCTGTAGCTGAGCAAACTAGTCCATGTTTAGGGATTTTACGAGTACTTGTATCGTTAAATGTCACGTACTTAAAATCTACCGGAATTTTGCATGTCACTATGTTTCTCCAGCATACCATTAAGTCTAACTCCAGAGAAGAATGGTAGGTACTTCAGTTTGTGTATGTGTTTTGTTTCTATCACCTCGTATTTATAGCTAAGGTTTCTTGTGGAAAATGTCTGTAGTGCAGTTAGGCAAAGGAATGGCTTTATTTAGTTCCRAGATCTTGTCAGCTCCCTCTTGTAATTTTTTTTTTTAATTGATTGTCCTCATAGCTTCTGCTTTTCAGCATTCCCACATTTGTGAGAAGCATGAAACATGTTCATGACTCCAATTTGCAGTGAAAATAAAGTCACTTCTTTCTTTTTCTTCTTGCTTTGGGACAGGTAATTGGGCATACGTCCCTCATTACCCTTTAAGAAGTGATTGTTGTCCTGATTGTAAGCCAGTAGTCAGTAGATGGGCTAGCCATGGTAAAATGCTTTTTATATTGCTGTTAATGTGGGGAAGGAAATGAGTTGCAGTAAATACAATAAATTTGTCTCTCTTGCTGTGACTGGCTACTTTTACTAGGTGAGTCCATGTTTTAGTTGCTTCATTCTGCCAGTTTTGATGCATCTTGCAATAGTACATATCACACAGTATTCTTTTCCTACATGACAGCCACAGAACATTGTATTTCGGCTTAAAAAACGTGGCGTAATCATGTTTCCTTCTGTCCTTTCATTGTAGGCCTCAATAGAACTCGTTCTTTCTCTTTTTTGTCTGTGTCTCCCTATAAAGACAGTCTTCCAAGCAGCCAAAATTTCAGTCAAGAGACGGGATGCTCTACGCTTTTGAGCCAGTTTTTCCTTGTTTCAAATGCAATGCCCCTATGAGGTCTGACAGTGAATTTCTGCTTAGAATGCCTTTATATTTCACATCACTCAATGTGAGTTCTTGAAGAAACTGTTTTGGTCAGTTTTGTGGCTTTCCCTGTCATAATTAATTCTCATCTACTCAAGGAACATTTTGCACCTTTTGTAATTATAAATGATTACTTTTTTACCTGGATGTAAAGAAATAGACATAAGGCACCCATGAAATTGTGCCTCAAAAATACTAAAMAAATATTACAATGATCATTATTCATGCAAATATATATGCTGTATTTCAGATTGCAGTTTCTAAGCTTTCAGGGAAAAAACAAAAAAAGACTATATGAAAGCATTGTAATTCCTTTAGATTCCGTATCAGTCAGTCACTGATGGTTTTTTGAGAAAGCAAATTCTGACTGGTTTGTAAAAAAGCAGGTATGGGTTGAATCTAGAAGTTTGCCACTTAACTTGCTGTGATGTGTCTCATCTGCTTATGCTGCTTGGAAGATGTTTGTCTACAAACCATCACTTGAAATAGCCAAGAATGATTACTTTGCTTTAGGAAGCTATGCCCTGCTGAACAAATATGCATGGGTTTTATACCTACCGTTCATTCAGGCTTCCTTCTGGATCCAAAGAGCTTAACAGATCAGGCTTTCACGGAAGCCATTCCAGCTCTTCCTTCCTCAGTGAAAATTCTCAGGATACAGATGTCATAAGCCATTGTTACTCTGAAAGAATCAAATATTTCTCGTATGTGGTGAATGCATAGGTAGGATGGAAGTCTATAAGGAGAACGTATTTTGTAGGTGGAGACCTGTTCTTTTATAGCTTTTTTTTTTGAAAAGGACTGTATTTTGCCAGTGCCACTAAAACTATTGCTCTGTGAGTGGAACTGTTCTAATTCCATGTCCCAGTGTCGGTTCATGTAAAGGAAGCATAATTTTGGTCTGTTGAGTAATTCCAAGTGAATCTTTTTTTGTTAGAGCCTTATAAGGTCTTATATAAGACATACCCAGATAACAGTTTCCTTTTTTTCTTCTTCTATTCTGAATAGCATCTATAAAAAATGTAGTGTTTGAATGTGAGTTTCAATGTAGATAAAGATTTGTACTTTCAATAGGCTGAAAATATTTTCAGAAGAAAGTGTTCCTCTCTTTGGGCCTCCGCTTCCCTCCCCACCTGTGTTTACAAACCACCAAGAGTTCAGGAATTTTGTGTTGGTGAAACGTAAGTCAGCTTTTCATTTGCTAGAAACACTCATTTGATAAGTGTACTAACAAATAGAAATTCATGATGCTTAAAGTGTATACACATTTTCTTGTGTATGCTGCTGATCTGTATACAGTTGTTCATTTCAAATCTGTAGCATAGGTGGGATGTCAGTTCCATCAAACTAATACAGTAGGTTTRACCAAAAAAAAAAGTCCCTGCTTCTCTGACTACAGACTTTGCATTTGCAGAATGTGCAACCATATTTAGCTTTGCATTTTCTTAAAGGACTAGGAGATCTGAAAGAATTTATATTGCTGTTCATTATTTAGTAATACAAGGTGTTGATTCAGTAGCTCTGAAAACCTGAAAGTAGCAGCTTGTCTGAATGTATTCTTAGAGGTACTGAAGGACACCTATGCAGCACTTTTTAATTCTGTAATGATCCAGTTCCAGTTTTCATTGACCCATATTTGCCCCTCTAAATCAACAAAAAAAGAAATCTTTTGAGAATTAATCAGGATGATTGCAATTAAATTATTACCCGACAGGAGCTTGACAGATAGTTCATTTTGCCTATTTAAATTGTTTAGTATCTAAATTGATCAGTGGTTTGTCTTTAATTTTCATTTATGTAATATGTCTTTTTTCCATAATCTTTTAGTAATAAATGGTGAAAAAGCCACCTTGGAAACACCAACATTTTCTCAGAAACGTCAGCGCACTCTAGACATGCTGATCCGCTCTTTATACCAAGACATGACGCCTGATCTACACAAGGTAAATGTAAGTCACAAGTTTCTGCTTCCTTCACATGTGCTGTCCTGTTCCAACTGGTTGTTTGAATGTTCTGTTACTTTAAAAAACTCTAATCCTAACGAGCACTGAATTGCATATGACTAAGCTAAATAACAATTATAACTAAATAACAATTATAACTTACTTAACGGTTAGATGAAAGTTGACATGTGCTTTCCTGATAGGACTCTTCACCAGCTGTGAGGAGAAGTGTAACAGCGTTGTACATTGTGCAAGCTTACCTGCAACGAGAGAGTAGGGAGTTTAGATATTGCAAAAAAGGGCATTAGTCTAGTCACCATAAAAACTGCAGTTATTCTGTGATGGTAAATTTGGACGATTTTTACCTCTGGGTAGCCATGAGGTAACTTTATTTTAAATGATGAAGACTTATTCTTAAGGTGATTCTTAACTAACTCCACTAAGTTCAGTACTTCTAAAACTAACGAGGTGCTATTTTTTCCACCAATGTTTATTTGCCTTATCTGTAAAAATCTGGTTAAACATGGGTTTTTTTTCATATATTCATGTCTTAGGTTCATCTGGTATGATTATACAAACCATGACATTGATAAACTATGGCAAGTTGTGGGGTAAATCACTCAAGGATTGAAGAGTTGAAATTTCTCTGCTTTGAGAAGCTATGCAGTTAAAAAGAAACATTTTCTGTTTTAGAACATGCTCAATAGAAGGTCCTTCAGTGATGTGTTACCAGAGTCCCCAAAATCAACACGGAAAAAAGAGGAAGCTCGACAAGCAGAATTTGTTCGGCTCGGTCAGGTAGGATCGGTTTAGAAGGTATGCCAGCTATGTTTACAAAGACTGTATCACTCCTTTTTTGTAGACTTTGATTGGCTTGCAGTWGTATTGGGATCTCAAGCAGTTTTCTTCATCAGAAATAGTTTTCTAGTATTGCATTGTTTTAAGATAAATTACAATGAAATATGAATAGAAGTAATTATCTGTAACACCTGAGGCACACAAATAATTTTTTGTATCATACGTGAGTTAAATGCAGGGTGGAAAAATCACGCCTTAGGATTAAACCTGAAATGTCTTTCCCTGCTTCATGAGGTAGATGCTTTCTGCCTCCAAGCAGAAGAGTGCTCGTGTCTTTTTCTGGGCTTGGGAAAAACGTAATCTTTCATGGATTAGGTTTTATTAAGATTGAATTCCTTAGAAATAGACTGCTTTAGTCACCAAGAAATTTTGCTAATCTTTCTGTTAAACGAGAGTTCGCTGCATGTCTTTTCACATAGCGCATACTGACTGCAGTCTTTTATGGGCTTATTAACTTTTTGGTTCTGTGAGAAGTACAACTTCGTGAGGATTTAGATAATCTGCTTTGATCTGACAGTTCGTTGCAACAAAAAACACCCAACAGTGCCTATGGTCATCAGTTCCCCTGTCCTTTCTCACTCRTTTCTTCTTGGTCCTAGACTGGTCTCATGGTTCTGCAGCCTATTGTAAGAATACTTCTTTTCTGAGCTTATTTAACTCAGCGGGAGTTAACAGAGCAAAAACAAAGTCTAAACCAAACAAGAAACAGACAAAATCCCCACACAAACAAAAACACAAAACCCAACCAACCAACAAAAAACCCTGCAAAACAAAACCGAACCCAACAAACAAACCAACCAACTAACCGACCAACCAACCAACCAACCAAAAAACAAAAAAAAAAGCAAAAACCCACACTGCCGACAAACCCCAAATCTCTTTTCTTTCTTTCTTTTTTTTTTTGGATTAGTAAGTTAAAAATTAGAAGAGTTTGAGAAGTTCTACGTCTGGTTGAAGTAGAGAATGGAGCTAGGCGGGTGAGAGCTGGTTCAAGAAATGTCTCGGGGCTATTAGAGCTTGCATTGGAAGAGCTGCAAATTCTCCTGTGCTTTGCCTGTCCATTCCTCCATCACCTTGCGATAACTTATCACTCTAGGCAGGCATTGGGGAAGAAAAAGTGCTGAACGTGTAATATTCAGACAGAAGCAACCAATTATTTATTCCTAAGTTTACTTTGCAGAAGGTAAAGAAAAACAAGAAAAATGTGGTTATTGAAAGTATTGGGAACCTATAGGCTTAAGCGCCTTCTACCCTCCCCCAACCTAAATGCTGATGAGACCCTCATGTAACAAATCTAGTGGGGACCCATTTGTTAAGCAAGACTCCATCCTCGATATGCTCTTCATCAAAAGGAAACCTATTATGTGGGTTAAAATTTCATAGTTACCTGTTAAGTATCTTTAGAAACTGCTTATCTTCAAGATTCTTTTAACATTTAAATATTTCCCTTCCCTAAAAGATCTTGCCTCTAAGTTATAAATTGTAGGCTTTAACACATTACAAGGTATCTTGCAAGTAAYTCAATAATTCTTGCCAAGCTAGGAATACATTTCCCCTTTAGTCACAGCCAGTTGACTTTTTAGACAGTAGATAAAATTCACTCGTAACTGATTCAGCAATATATTTAAATAATTTATTTATTGTTAAGGTGATCTCTTTTGACTGGTGAGATGGAATTAAAATGTTCATACAGTGAAGTATTTTGCACATGTCTGTAAGCTGACAGCCCTGCTTMATGCGAGTGTGCAAATGATGCGTGYGGGTGCTTACTGCCACTTCACAGAGAGCCATGCTTGATGTTAGTCCAACTCTAGGGCAGTACAATTTGTTTAGGTTAGTTCTCAACTTTGCATTGTGGAATGCTGTGACAATTCCACGTGTCACATTCTGACAGGAATATTGCTGTGAAAGTTAGTAGTGAAGATACATAGGCTACACTAAACAGACTTACTGTGTAAGGCAATGAAACTATGTATATATGACATTTCTCTTGAGTTTCTGGCCCTTTTAAAACACCTTGCTTCTAGTTACTTCTGATGGAAGGATTTGTGATCCTGTGACCATCTGCCCTTGGGAATGCCTGGCAATATATACAGACATAGATAAAAACATGTATTATATAGTCTGACTTAGTGTCTGTTAGGGAGTTTTGCAAGTAAACAAATTTGTATAATTGACAAAAGGATCCTGTATCCAGCTAGATTACAGAGTAAACTGTGTAGATGGTTAGCATGTATAGTTTCAGGTGGAGGTTTTTCTCTGTTATTATGCTTGACTCTTTGCTGATTTGGAGTTGCCATTTAGAAAGCAAGCAAACAAAAAAAAAACAAACAAAAAAAACCAAAACAAAACAAAAAAACAAGCAAAAAAAAACCCCAATTAACAGCTAACATATATTTTGCTGAGAAGATACTTAGTAACCACCTAGTGGTTTATGGTAACTTTGTTCAGGATACAGAATTCTGCTTCTTTCTTCCAAAAAAGAAAAGGCATAGGAATTCAAAACTGGAATTACTTTCCAGTCCTAAATTGTCCTTTTTGTGTAGTCATTAGCTTGGGTTCCTGACAAAAACTCAGTTTAAATAAAACATCTGTTTGTATTAGGCATTGAAATTGAAAACCACTGTGAAAGGGGATACCACAGCTAACTTGGCAACCACAGGCTTTTGTAAAAAGGAGGTGAGTGAAACTGTCTCAGAAGTTACGAAACATTAAACATTATCTAGTATGGCATCTATTTATTTACTACTGTAATTAGATGCTGCAGCTGAAAAGATGAAAGGTGCATTGTCAAAGTGATTTTGCAGTCACTATTGGATTAATAAAGGATGAGCCTGGGGGCAGAAGCACTTCTCAAGCTAAAGCAAGTGTGGACATTTCTATGCCTGAGAAAATTTGATGAAAGTGACATTTCCATATGCAATCATCTTTTGGTTTTACTTCAGCAAGTTTAAAACAAAATTCGGTTTTGGTTTCTTTTCCTGTAATACTGGATTTTGTTTGAAATCAGTAGGAAGAGAAATACGCAAACTAGACTCTTCTTTATATGTTTTATGTACAGAAGCTTCAGAAGTGCTTCTAGAATTCCAGAGATTCCAATTAATATATAAATTGGGAGAGGAGGGGCAGGGTCTGGGAGGTAAGTACAGAGAACACAGGATGGAAGAGCAATTTAGCAGAAAGGCGGTTTTAGTTGTACCATGTGCTAGTGACTAAACATCACAAAGTGAACCATAAAGTGTAAGCAAACTGCGTACGCGTGGTGGAATACATATGCTTTAAGCATATAGGTTTCAGTTTAAAAAAAAAAAAAATTGAGCGAGGGTTGCACTGAGTTTCAGCTGCATGTGTTTGAATTCTTGCATTTTGGGTATGTGTCTTACGAGTATCCAAACCAGAACTGATACAGAAATTCTCTGCAAGAAAATTAATTCAATTTTGACATTTCAAATTCAAACAATATACTGATTGGAAATGTATCCTGCCGAAAGCATTTACATGTTGTTGCCATTGTCCATCACATTCTGTGTCTGTATGATCTGTATTTTTTAGTGTACTTAATATGTATCCCTTATGTTACTTCATAGCCTTGGGAATCTCAGTCTTTCTGCAGTAATTTTCCTCATGAGGTTGTCTGTGCAGATTCTTGGGGCCAGTCCTTGCTGGTTTCTACAGATGTTGGCATCTTGTTAATAGATGGTTAGTAAATGATCTAGTGCTTTTGTGTCATTTTTTATGTATCTGACCATTTTCTTGAAAATGTATGTTCATAAGCTCTCTTCAGGTGTTGGTACGTCTTTTTGTAGGGGGATAGTTACTAATCCAAGTAAAGTTATTACATTTATGTAACCTAGTTGCAAAAATTCTTTCTGCACTAGTGTCAAGCCATATTGGAGAGCCAAGGGTTAATGAAGATTTCTGAATGTTTTCTTATTTCAGATGTTGTTTTCTTGACCATCTGAAAACCCACAGGAGGTCGCATCCAGGTTCAAGAACTGTCTAAATGGCTTCTCTGGCTTTTTTAGCCCTTGAGGGTAGCGAGCATGAAGCCAGGGGCTTACGTGGCAATGAAAGCCTACTTGTTCCCTTAGCAATGATATGGCTACTTTCACCCCTTCTTATGCTCTGTGTGCTACGTAAGGCCAGCGGGAATGAGGGAATGAAGTTAGTTCTTGGTTGTAATTCTCGAATTTGCCAAGGGAATGTCACTTTTCAGGTTTCAGATGCGTAATGAGATTCATGACAATAATAAAACTCTCCCGTGAGGAAGTATTGACTATGACTATGTAGGAGCTTTGTGCAAGTCTTTTATGTGGTTTTTTTTTTTTTTTTTGCCTCTCCATTTCTGTAAGAAGAAACCCAATACTTTTATTTTATTAAGAAAAAAATCATTCGGAACTGGCAGCTAGCAAATTTTAGCAGGATTTTGAATACGTATGTTTTTCTTTTTCAGAGGGTCAACCATCAGTGCAAGTATTTGATAAAACTCTCCAAATAAAGCAGATGCATGTGTTGGAAACTCTTGATCTTTTGATTGCCCGAACAGACAAAGGTAGGAGAGGTCCCTGTTCTTGGATTCTTGCATGAATCTGGCTGTTGCTGCGTGTCTATGTATTATGAGGCAATTGTGTCTATCAGCAGTCAGTATTTGTGATGCTTTCTTGAGAATAAGGGAGCACATACAGCAAGTACTGTTACTTTCTAAGAGGCTCATTTGTTCTTCGTTCAAGGCAAGCCTAAAAGTGATCACATTGTCTTCGGTCACTGTTGGAACTCAATATGCATTGCAAATATTTTTTTACTGAATTTATATGTTCATTCAGATGCACAAAAATGAGGGGATAGTTAATTATGCTGTCACTATTTGACAAAGTAAGTTTTATTGGTATCTATTCTGTTAACCTAATCGAACCTAACTTGCTGATCATTGAAGAACTGATAAGCAGAGCCAATCTGTGTCTGGAAGGGTTCAAACTCTGTTAAGGATCTAGTTATCATTTGCTCAGTTGTATGGTTCCAGCCCTTAAAGTAACACTTTTACTCTTGCCCTTACTTTGTCTATTACATTTTTGTTATTTTGCAAGATTTTATGTATTGACAAAATATTGTGCATGTCACTGTTCGGAAGCTCTCAGATCATTGTTTGGTGCAGCACCACTCAGTGGGGAACTCAGCTATTGTACTGAAGGCATTGGTTACTAGAATTGTAAATCCTGGAGAGTTTGTAAATCTTTTGTCCCCAGAGAGGTATCATGCTTTGTTTTGCTTTGTTAGGTGCTACTTCTCATCAAAAGTAAAGTATTAATTTCAAACTACCACTTTCTTCTTTTAACTTGTTTTAATCTGGTTCTCTCTATATGTCAGGGAAAGACTCTCGTCTTCTTGTCTTCAGACTCAGTGCTGTCCAAAAAGATATAGAGACAAAACAAATGATAAGAAGCAAATACGACTGCAGAGAAAATAAACTGGAGAGAACAAAAGGTGACGTTGTTATTTATCCTGTGCTAAAAACATCCGCTATGGTATGATGCTGGTGGTTGCCAGGGGCTTATTAGCTCTCTTTAGGCAGGTGTAGGTGTTCACCTTTTGTTTTTTCCTCTGGACAGTCAATTCAAACTTCGTTAAGTTGACATTTGGGAACTAGTTTAGTACAGTCCAGCGTGACGTTTTTCAATGTTGTGAAATACCGTGTTAATTGGCAATTGCTGCTGATGAAAAGCTTCAGAGAAAAATAGGATTTCAGGGTTGGGAGGGTATGAGAAGAATTTTGTGGGGTTGTTTCACTGAAATAAAGCACTCTTTACGCTGAAGGAACACTAGCAAATCTCCATTTCTTAGATTAGTTCGGATGTTGCTAATTACCTTTGTAGACATAAATGTTTCGTGGTCTTCAGAAGCAAGCTGCTTTGGAAAGCTGGAACTTGCGGAATGATGACAGTCCATGCACTTAAGAGTAAGAGTAAAAGTAGATTTCAAAAGAGGTGTAGGTTTTGTCTTTTTCTGGAAGTTGACATTATCCTATTGAGGAGTTTTTAATTCTGTSTTGCCAAGTAATCTGTCAGAGCCCTGTAGTAATAACCATCATACAAATACAGAACAAAAAGAAGAGTCTAGAACATTATTTCCTCAGGTTGCCATTTGTATGCCATTAATACTCACCATGGAAGTGAACTGAGGATTGTTGTGGCTATTCGGAACAAACTACTTCTCGTCACAAAGAAATATAATCCACACAGCACTTTAAGCAGCACGTCCCTGCTATCGTCTCCTGAATCTCCTGTAGAGGAGTTCCAGTACATCCGGGTATGTGTAATCCAGTTACTACTTATTTGAACACGCTGGGCAGCGCTCAGCTAGTGTGGCCGGTGTGGGGAAGACAGCGTATGCATTATCATCTTCCTGAATCTACAGGCAAGCCATATGGTGGAGTTCAATCATATATATGCTAAAGAAATATTTCCCATTTTTTTATAATGGTTTCTGCTTGTTCTTTGTTACATTTCTATGCTTAGAGAGCATCCCTTTAAAATCATGGAGTACAGCAGCACCCACAGTAGGAGCTTGAAAAAGAGTAATTCTATTATTTACATTATAGGAAATATGCCTTTCTGACCCTCCAGTGGTTATGACGCTGGTGGACGGACCTACTGGAGACAGTGACAATATGATCTGTGTAGCATATCGGCATCAGTTTGATTTAGTTAATGAGAGTACGGGAGAGTCCTATAGACTGCATCACATTGAAACAAACAGGGTAAGTTTGCATCATTGAAACTTTTTTTTGCTGATCCCCACTGAACACAATTTCTTGCAGACTCAGTGCATGCTGTACTGACCTCCTAGGAGTGTGATTTGTGGAGATCCTCGCTAAGTGTRTTACTTTTTATTTCTGTAACCACTGCTTTAGGGCACTCTGAGATATTTGTTCCTTTTGGGATACATGATAGTAACTCTCAAGAGAGGTCTTTGTAAGATACGACACATTAGGAAAGAGCCTGCATTTCAGGCTCTGGAATATTCCTGTTGTCAACAATTAATTTTTCTTCTTTCTTAGCCAGAAGTTTGCTTTTTGTTTTATTTTTGTGGTAGGAGTGTTTTATTGTTTAAGAAATTGCATCAAAATAACTTCAGTGGTTGGCTACCAGTATCTCATTCAGATTTGCCTATTTGCATGCACTATGGCTAAAATATTTACATACGGTTTCTCATTCTGTGTAAGAAACTGCTGTCCAGTCAACTCATAACTGAATCTTTGTACCTAAGACATAGCGTTGGGTTTTAGGTAAATGTCTTGATTTTCAGAAAAAAAGTTCCAGTATTTCCTGCTTCGGGAAGTATAATGATTTCCAGCACCTCAGAAAATCAGACAATTTCATTTCTAAACAGGGATGTGGACATCTAGCTTTAGGAAAAAAAAAAAAAAAGAGGAAGATTATGTACAATTAAACTTTCGTTGTTGTTTTCCCTTAATGAGATAAGGGACTACTCTTTTCATTTGGTGGTTCTCGATCAGTTATTTTCTTTTAAAATCATCTGTGTTTTTATTTGGATCTGGTGATGAAGAGGTGCTCCTGGCCTGGTTGATCAAGTGTAAAGTTCTCCACAGCATTGGGAACCAATCTGAATCTGGACAAGGAGGAACTACAAGTAAAGAATAGGGATGGAGAAGGACATCACCATCGCAATCCACCAGCCCCATCTCTTTTCCATGCAGGAATCCTTATTTCCTTTAGGAACATGAACAAAGCAGACAATTCATATGAGCTGASCTAGTGATTTTTTTATGATGTTAAAATTGGTTACCCACTTACTTCTCTGGACGATAGAGCAGCAGTGGCTTTCAGATGGGTCAAAATGCATTTGGTATGGATGTGTAAACTTCCAGGTTTGCTTAACAGTTCTTGACCTGCACGGTAATCTTAAATCGAGGGAAGCCAAAGACCTGCTGTTCATGCAATCGGTCTCTAAGGCTTCTCCCTCTCCAGGTAATATATGTAGTTTGGGAAGCATTTGCCCAACATAACCTTACGTATTTCGCTAACAAGGTCTCATTTCCTGAACAGATATCCTACTTTTGTGGCTGTTTTGGTTTTTAAAAAAAAATCTAAATGTAAAAGACAAAACAAAAGTTGAATTAAAAGAATTTATGTAGCCAAATCTATGTAAATAATGCTGTGGTTTAACCACCATTGTTTCTCAGTTCATAAATTCAGACTGTTCGGGAATTGTTCTTAAGTACATTCCTGTTGACTTCCATAAATGTTAGCGATTTTGAACGAGTAGTTGGTGTATCTGATCTTTTTGCTAGTCATGCTGTGCCTTTGAAGATCACTTTTTGAAAATAATTGATACCTGTAACATATCGTGTTGATTCACAGCTTTCTGAAATGATCCTGTTTCCCAAAATTTTTATTGCTAAATAAGTTACATAAGTTTKTATTGCTTTATACTGCGGTGTGGTATTGACTGTTCAGTACTGTACAGAACCAAATACAGGAGAAGCTGGTTTTCATCCTGAGAACATCCTGAAAATTGCATCACAAAAACATCTATTTTTATAAAATTACTGTTTATTTCTCTTTTTTTTTCTTTTACCTGTGGTTGTGCACTTTCCCAACTGATTGTATTGCTTCTTAGTCACAACCTAGTTGTAATAACTACAGTATCCTCCACTGGTTTGTTAATCTTTTCCATTATAATTGCAGGTTAATTTTGTAGCAGCTATTGATGTATATGAAGATGGTGAAGCTGGTCTGCTGTTGTGTTATAACTGTAAGTGTTTAGGGAAGGCAAAAATGGTAATAGCTCAATCTGCATATGTAGATCTTCTTTCACTGGAGGCTTTGTTGAACTTCATGAGATTTGCATCAGTCCACCTCTCAAGCCTGTCAAAGTCGCTTGATCCCTCCAGTGTGTTAGCTTCACCACACAGCTTAGGGTCTTTGCAGACTTGCTGAGGGTGCCCTCATTCCCGCTGTTCTTGTTGCTGGTAAGGATGCCATCCAGTGGCAACCCGAGTACTGACCCCTGAGGGACATCACTGGTCACTGGTCTCTGCATGGGCAATGAGACATTGACCTCAGCTTTTTGCATGCAGCCATCCGGCCGCTTCTTTATCCACCTAGTGCTCCGTCCATCAAATCCATGTCACTCCAGTGTGGAGACGAGGATGTCCCGTGGGACGGTGTCAAACGCTTTGTGTGAGTCCAGGTAGACGATGTCAATTGCTCTGCCCCATCCACCAATGCTGCAGCCCCATCATAGAAGGTCACCAGATCTGTCAGCCGTGATTTACTATTTGTAAAGCCATGTTGGCTGTTACCAGTCAGTATAGAACATGCATGTATGCGCGTCACTGCAGTTCACAGGTACTTCTGATCCTCTTGAAAGTAGAAGTGCTTAGCATGGAGCAGCCTAGGCAAGGCAATGCTGAAAGGCAAGGCGTGGCTACTCTCTCTGGCAGAAGGCATGTCCTGTTTGCCTTTCCAAAGTGAACATTAAGGGAGACAGGATAAATACACCCTGTACTCCATTCCTGGCTGTCAGATTGGCAAATTATAAGTGTCTAAACTCTCTAAGGCCTTATTAGTTCTGGTTCTATTAGCACTGCTTCAGAACTAAAAAAGTATCTGACAGACCATAGTGAATTTGCACATATAATTCTGCTTGGGATAGACCCAATCCTTAGCAAAAACTAAGAATGTTAGCTGATTTTAAAGTTATAATAAAGATACTGCACAGGCTTGTGGCTACTTGAATTCCTATTTCTAGGAAAGTGGCTCAGGGAAACCTACATTTTTTCTTTAGAGAATTTTATAAATCAAAAAGTAACATCACAGAACAAACAGAATTTGGCAGCATCTAAAGTTTATGTTTAGTAAAAGACCAATAGCACATTAGTGGATGTAAACTTCGATTCTGTATAAAGACAGCAGTTAGCAGGAAACAAAACCTTTTGCCTAAAAAATGTAAAAGAGCTGGAAAGAGCATATATTTGAAAGGGTCGTAGTTGTTCACCTGGAACTGCTGCTACACTTACATAAGCTTGCCAGGAAAAAAAAATAAGATTGCAGCTGCAGCTTGTCTTTAAGTGTACTTTTTGTTAGCTTATATGACTTCTCAAGTCATGACCTTGAATGGACCCTTCCTGATAGTGGAAGTTTCTCCGTTAACTAGTTCTATCTATTAAAAATTCAGAATTATGTTGTCAGTAAGAAGCCGTATAAGCCAGCATTCATGCGTTACCCATAGGAAGATTGCTCATTTCAGAATCGTGGACTAAGAGCAGCTAAGAAGTGCATTCACAAGTTATATAATTAATGAAATTTTGGTGTCTGTAATACCTCAGTTGCATAGCAGTCTTCAAAGGATGTAAATGACGGTAACATGTGGCTGCTTGAAGGGCAGAGAAGTACAATTCTGCAGACACTGCTTTCTGACTTTTTTCTTGCCTATTCCTCTGCCTGTAGACAAGTCAGGGACCTGATGACTTTTGAAACAGTGATAGTTACTTTGTGAAACATGACAACTTATTCAACCTAGGTCTTTTCTTTTGGTCTTTCAAATGTCACGTTCCCAGAGAAAGAAAATTTTTTCTATCTGTTTAGCTATAGAGCGACTTCTACATGAATGTTTGATTATGTGCATAATGTCCACCCTTCTGCAAATAAACCATCTGCCTGTGAAATAGGTGGTGGACACTTACAGTATAAAGTGATGGATGCTTCTTTTTGCTGCTTTGTTATAGATGTTTGTCAATACAGAAAGGTGTATCCTTTCAGTGGAGGTTCTCCACTGGTGCAGCCATCAGCTTATGACTTCCACTTCAGCTGGAATCAAGTTCCTTATGCTGTTGGTAAGAAGTTACGTCTTTTTACTAGATGTTTTTTTCATTACTATTTTGGCCTGCACTTGGTTCTTAGTGGAATTACAGTATTCTAGGAATAAGCATGTTACATTCCTGCCACTTGAGTTAAGTTTCTGCATATGATAATTTTCGAAAGTGGAGCCTTGGTAGCAAGGTCATCCTTTGCTGAGCTTTTTTTTCCCTTTCTCTTTTTAGTGTTGTTCCTTTTCCATTCACTCTGTATTCTGCCAGGCATGGAGAGTAACATTTTCTTCAGCTTTGATGTAGCTCAGTGTTTATCGGTATGCCAGACAACACTTTTCATAGGAAAGGAACATGCCAGAAGAGGTCAACAACAGTTTTCCCGGAACATCCAAGAAACTTTCACACTAATCATTTTTCCTTGCCAAATAACTTTTATTCCATTGCAGTCTGTGCTTTCCCGTACGTTCTCGCCTTCACTACTGATTCCATTGAGATACGATTAGTGGTGAATGGGAACTTAGTCCACACAGCAGTTGTGCCTGAGCTTCAACTTGTAGCGTCAAGGGTAAGACACAGAAAAATAATGTTATACTATTTCCATGATATCTCGGGATCTAATAAGAAGTTGCTGCCGCTAAAAATGAAATGAACGAAAGCTGAAATAGGTGCTATTTGGGCTATTTGCAATCATAGCTACTTGCTGTTRTCTGCAATAATTGTTCATCTCTGTGCTCTTAGTTTATATCAAGGACAAAGAGAATCAGAAGATGGTGAAGAAAGTCTCGCTGTACTAATGAAGAGTAATTTGTCATTTCAGTCAGATATTTATTTTAAAGCTACTGCTGCAGTAAGTGGATCATCTGACAGCAGCTCGAAGGAAATGAGTTCAAAGAGTTCTCCTCAAACACCGACAGCTTACGAAAAGCCAGAATTTTCTCCTCCTTCTCTAGAAGGTAATGTGGCATCTTGAATAATGATGTGTAATCATTCCGACAGCTATCGCATCTCAGTGTGGCTGACCTTCAATAAAGATGGTAAAGGTGAGTTCCTACCTGAAAGTCTGGAAGATAAGAGATTTTCTATTTTTCTACATATATAAGGCACTTGGCTGAGCTTTTGCACTGTATTATCTTTTCTGAATACATGGTAGCACTGTTCTGAACAAATAATTTCTTCAGGAAGGGAGGAATTAAGCTTCAGTAGCTTGATGAATATTTGGCCACCAATATGACCACAAGCAATAATGCAGAAAGGCGGATAAATTGTGACAAAGCTTGACATTTCACATACACCATTCCTTTCATTTAACAAAAGCTGAATGACCACTGAATTGCTGAAGCTCTTTTGCAAACCAAAAGTAAAAGGCCTTGAAAAACTTCACAGTTATTTAGCTTAACATGATCTATGAACAGTCAATCTGTAGTGTAACAATAAAGGAGAAACAAGGGAACTAGATACCGAAAGAGGTATGCATACCTTTCTTCCTTCAATCTGCTGCTGCACTCTTGGCAGAAAGGGAAAGGAGAAGGTAATCACAATTTTAAATTCTTTTTAAGGCAGTGTTATTTGATGGTAATTTTGGGATTTTGGTTTGTTTTTCTTCTAGGAATTAGAAAAATGTGGTATTTTGTGTGACCTAGGAGGAGGAGGAGTCATAATTTAAACCACTTGGGATCCAGGCTTTGCAGTATATTAGAACACATGGGAAATACTGCAAGAGTGCAGTATAATGGTCAGAGTATCAGCCATACTAATTTACTTCCTGGTTCCACTGCTGATTCATCATGTTGCCAAGAGTCAATCTTCTTGTTCTCTCTAAGTCAAATTGCTCATATTTCTTCCCTCTCCTAGATTACTTATATTGATAGATCTTTAGAGCGAAGAAATCTTTGTCGTTTGTGTTTAGAAGTGCCCAGCTCAGCAAGTATCATTTGTCTTTCTATGTTTTCATTTGGAATTATTAAGAACTGATACTATGCTGAAAGTGTAATATTCTTTTCTCTTTCCATGTTTCAGGCGAAGTTCCATGCAAAAACCTGTACAAAATACCTCTCAGCAATCTGGTGGGGCGAAGCATTGAACGACCTCTGAAGTCACCTTTGGCTTCCAAGGTCATCACTACTACAACATCGAGTGGCATTGCCTCTCTTCCAGTTATGCACTCACTATCCTTATCTCGTGTAGAAATGAAAGAAATTGCAAGCAGAACACGTAAAGAATTGCTGGGTAAACTCTCCTCATTCTTCAGTGTTATATGTCAGTTGCCACATATGTACTTTTTAATCTTTGCACCRTCATAGATAGGTTTGTAACATGCGGCTAGTGTTCATAAGTTATTAAAATAAATAAGGAAACTGTGAGGAAACATTTTTGCAAATGATGTAGCCAATATTGTCTGATCTGGAATAAAATGGCCATATTCTAGGCTGGGTAGAAATAGTTAATAAAGGAAACCAGCAACAGATACATTAACATTTTCATGAATGCTTTGTTTTCTCTTGAGAGTATTAAGTCTTTTATTCCTTTATTGAGGCCTCTTGGATGAGCCTATACCCAAGACAGAAAGTGCACAGAAGCTAAAAAAGGTTTCTCGAAGACAGTCAGACCCCAAGCAGGGAGCAGTAAGATCAACTAGTAGTGACAGGTAAATATACTGACTTTAGAAAAGAGCCTAAGTTAGACTGCAAGTACTTTCAGAATTGATTGCTCATGCTTATCTCAGCTGGTGTGAGGCTGACTGAGATCTTTGTATATCCGTATGCGTTTCATGCTRATGTGTTTGTTAGAGTGTCTAAATACTGTAAGTACTGAGACAATTAGACTTTTCACTAAAGACATGTTGATAAGCAAAGCAAGACTAAATGGCATTTTGTGGGGACCTGCTGCAATTGAGCCTGTTATTAAGATTTGGACTACTGCATCTGCACTGTGCAGACTGTCTTGTTGTTTTCTTTATGTGCTCTTGTGTTGCTATTTTCAGAATAAATTTTGTGAAAAAAAGGCCATAGCATTTGTCTGTTTGGCACTGAACCCTAGTGCCATGCTTTTGTTCTCACTGTTTCCATAACATACGTTTGTGTAGAGCACTGGCAGAATACAGATGATACAGGAAACTGAGAGTAACAAGACAAACAAAAAATCTCTTGCAGTATAAAACTGTTTGATTTATTTCCCTGTTTGGAAATTGTTTGGGTGAGGGGTTTCATTTATACTGCCTTTTGATTATTTTTAGTAGAGTAAAACAGGAGGGAATCTCAGTTGTAATCATCTGTGTCTGTCTTTAGGATAACTTGATTGAATCTAGAAGTAGCCATTGTTCCTTCCTGACCTGACCTGTGGTGTTTTTTTTCAGTAACTTTTGTCTTCCTCTCTGCAGGATAATCTCAAGCTCTTTTGAAGGCTATTCTGAAAGACATCAAGTTTCCACTAGTTCCGATCCTGATACTTTAGCAAACAGGGAGGAGAGCTCACCATCTAGCAATCCATTTCAGCTGATTTCTTTATATGATGAAGACATCATTGACTTGAAATGAAAACACTTAAAACCTTTCTTCCTTACTCTACGTTTTCTTACAACCCTGTAAGCTCTATGGCAATGTCACGAACACTGCTTCTGGTGGTAAAATGTGGCTGGAAATACCAATGATAAATCTTTATAGAACGCATGTTCTGGTTTGCACAGCCTGATTTTGGTGATGCTTATATCTTTGACATAGGTGTGTTTCTTCAGTTAATGAAGCATTACTTTTTGTAGCATTCTAATGGTAGGTAATCAGTGAGAGATTTAGACTGAAACTGAAGCAAACAAGATTTATTACTTTTTCTAAGCTTCTTATAATTTGATGTACCTAAATACAGCGAAGTTGATTGCTGTTATTCCTGTCATGAGCTGCTCTACAACAGTGTATGTCATGTGAGAAGAGGAATTTTATAACATAGATCACTGCTTTTGGTTTTTGTCTTTAAAAAAACAAAACTACGAGGCTTGTAGGTGAGGTCATTTCAACAGGTCATTTCAAGACAGTCCTTGAAATGATGCACCTGTGGTACATTCACTAAGAATCAGATGAGATATGAAGATGATGCTTCCTTTGCTCCATTTAGAGAAACTTGAAAACTCTTTTGGCATAAAAGATCCTTGAACAGAGAAACTTTCTATAATAAACACAAACTTTTAGAATATTTCTTTAGAATTGGAAATTAAGAAAAAAACCAACACCACAAGCAAAAAATCCTCAAACAAAAACCCTGATCCATCTACTGGAAAAGTCTTACTGTTGTGCATCTGCAGAGTTTTCCATTACAGACAGAAGAGCCAACCCCAATTGTCTTTGACTACTAAAAGATCCATATTATCAGCATTAGCTGTTGTCTGTGCTTGCACCAACGTTGTAAGTCATTACTCCAGATAGCTGTATTTTTCTGACTGTATGCAGCCTAAAATTTCAGTACTAATAAGCTGGTTTTCTATGATGAAGTAGTCATCTTGTCTCTTTCTGTGTTAAAGGTGATGGGTTTATATTTAAAGTTTTGGGGTTTGTTTTTTATTTATTTTGTTGTTTTTTAACCCTTTCCTCTAGAGCACCTTTGCAAGGGTTTTGTATGGTTGTGGGTTTTTTTCATGAAAGTGTGATGCTTCCAGCCTTTCTATAAATGATGTTTTTAGCTTTATTAGCAAGTGTTCCTTGTTCTGTATGTAGAAATACTTCCCTATCATTGATTTCACTTTGTTGGGTTAGGGTTAGGGTTAGACGTTGGTTTAGTCTGCATTTGAAATACATAACCCTTTGGATTTGGATTTCAATATATATACATACATAGGTGTGTATAGTTTTAATTTCCACCGTAAATTGTCAGGGATTAAAAATCCTGAGATTATATATATTGGAATTGAAAGTAATGGGATCATAAAAGGCAGGGGAGGGGAAAAGTGCATCTGCAAGTGATAAGGTATTTCAGAATAATTTCTGTTGCCTTAGTGTATGAAAATGACTATCACACCATTCTCATTGTTAACAATTTGATGTCATAGTGCATATGCACAGTGCTTGCCAATTCTGTCAAAGCACTGTTTCGTCAGATAGGCTTGATCTGATTTTATGAAGGACTAAATTATACTCTGGAAACCTAATATTAACAATATGGGAAGGCTCAAGAGACTGTGCAGCAAACATCTGCATTTGCATACAGGTTAGGAAGTGTTTTTACTCTTACCAGTTGAGCACAGCAACTTCATCAGCCTATATATTGCTTAGCTGCTTCACTTTGTTGCTGATCTGTAACTGACTTACTCCTGTTTGCTTCACTTTGTTGCTGATCTGTAACTGACTGACTCCTGTTTGCTACTGGAAATTGTGGTATTAGCACATGACTTGAACAGAAAATTGAGATTATTTTCTACATATTTATTTATAGTTCTATTAGGTATTTATCTGGTTAAATGGAAAATGTTATGTAAAGGTTTATGCAGAGTTATCAATCTGGAATGTTAGTTTAATTGTCTTTGAATGGTAGAAGACTGCTTTGTAATTTAATAATTGCATATTGTTAAGACTGTTGCTACATTTGTGATCAAAGACTCTTTACCACTGGTCTTAAATGATGATGTATTATCATGGTTTTTAACGTCATATGACAGCATGTATGGTTTGTGTTTTAGATGTGACATCCAAATAGAAACAGTCCAATCACATCTGAAACTGTTTTAAGTGCTATTTATCACATTGTAAAGAAGAAACATGATTTATTCCTTCATATGTAATAAACTATAAATTTGACCCCACTTCTTTCCTTCACACACACAGGACTAACGATTTCAAATCTGGAAAGTAAAAAGATAAGAAATCAAAAATACAGGGTATAGCCCAGAGCTCTGCACTACTTTCTCCATTCAAGTTTTCTGAAGTGCTTATCATTCCTGTAAGATTGTTTGTGTATTAAGATTTACCCATCTTTGACATAAGCTATAATCTAGCATTGGTTTATGTTTCCAGTCATCTTTTAGGCTACCAGAGATGTGCTTCAGTTGGGGATCTTTACTCTGTGAACTAACACTACAAAAGAGCTTTTTTCCCTTTCTGGCTGAGTGTATACTCTTACTGTCTTCAAGACCTTGTAATTACTTTTGAATAAGCAATCACCTTTCCTGAAGACTCAAAGACATTCTTGTAAGAGCTACAACCTGCCTTGTGATTTAAATGCATTTCTAGCCAACTTGACTACACTAGTGAAAAAAACTTAAAGCCAAGTGTTCGTCTCCATTTGGGATTAAGATTCAATTCAGTGGTCAGGCATTCCAGAAATAGCAGCAACACAATTGTCAAGCACTGCAGTCTGAAATTAGCATTACCCAGGCAACATTGTGCACTTCTACAGAAGGCAACTGTAATACTTGCCATAAGGACAAGGTAGATCGGAGCAAGGAAAATTTATTTATTTACACAATCAGATTTTAATTTACATTTTAGCAAGAAAGATACTGGCCTCATAACAATTAATATTCTCACATGGCTGTTAAAGTCAGTCTACACCAGGTGACAACACAGGAACTAAAGAAATAAGAGTAATTCATGATGCTTACTATAAAATCATGAAATCGTTTGTTTCCTAAGAATACCATAACCCAGTTCGTTAACACACAAGCAGCACTTGCTGTTTTAAGTAGGAAAATTTCAGGTATCAGCAGCCATGGAGCAGGACCCCAGCCACAGGCAAAACCTGCAAGTACAAAGCGAAGAAATGTACGTTAAGTAGGAAAAAGTAAACGATGTCCAAGTTAATCAAGTAAGGGGGATGGTTCAATCAAAATCTTGCCCCCCCCCCCCAGAAGTAGAAAGAAGAAGTGATTTTAAGTCCATATGATCAACACTTGTGCATTTTGCATCATAATTACATGAATATTCTCAACAAACAGAACGTGCCAAACCTCGGGCAGCAGCGGGAAGCGGCGTAACCCGCCAGGCAGCGAGCCCCCTCAGCAGCTGTGCCTGCAGGCCGGGCCGCCCCCGCCGCCTCTGCTCCGAGCAGCACCGGGCAGCGGCACCGGGCAGCGGCACCGGGCAGCGGCA